AAACTTTATCAGTGAGGTAATCAGATGAGTACCTGGAGTCAGTGTTTGGTACTCCAACTTCTGACCATTGTTCACGGGGGGGGGCGTCAGTGGAGTACACCGCTTCGCGATTGTCAACGGGGGGGGTGGCGTCAGTAGAGTACAGAGCTTCGTGACCGCGGCGCGTGTGTGAACGTTGTGATCAGCTGTTTTAGCGCAGGGCTGCTGTACAGACCGACGTTAACAGCAGCCCTGTCTGTGCACACGGAGACCGACTCTGTCGTCCGGTGAACTAACCGCCTTCTGGAAAAGCTTCACATTTACGTCGGTACGCAAATGCGCTTTGTGACACAAGTGACGGTACGCATTTCAGATTGTTGCCGCGCATGCGTACCTGCGTACCAGTTATGTGCACCCCTGTTTATAGCCCAACAGTTTGTAGGTGTATTCTTGTGTTGTCTAGTGTTGTCATATGTTGCTGAAACCATCTATCTAAGCTTGTGTGTGTGTGTATATGAGAGTGTGAGTGTGTGTGTGTGTGTGTGTGCATGTGTGTGTGTTACCTGTGCGTGTGTGTGTGTGTGTGTGTGTGTGTGTGTGTGTGTTGGTGTGTGTGTGTGCATGTGCGTGTGTGTGTGTGCGTGTGTGTGTGTTACCTGTGCTCTCTGAGTGATGAGCTGCGAGGCGTTGAACTTTGCCACGACGCTCTTCAGCACCTCGTTGACGATGGAGGGCAGAACTCTCTCATCGTAGTCCTGTCCGAGCTGCTGGTAGAGGATCGGCAGGTTGGAGGCCAGCGGCCGCGAGAGCACGCGCAGAGAGATGTTCACCATCTGCAGATCTGAGAGGAGGAGAGGAGAGGAGGAGAGGAGGAGAGGAGAGGAGGAGAGGAGGAGAGGAGGAGAGGAGGAGAGGAGAAGAGAGGAGGAGAGGAGGAGAGGAGAAGAGGAGAGGAGGAGAGGAGGAGAGGAGGAGAGGAGGAGAGGAGGCTCATCACAAGGAGGGAAATACAACTCAAATGCAGAGAGGGCAAAAGTACACACATCCTTTACTCAAGTAGAAGTACAGATACTCGTGTTTAAAAATACTCTGGTCAAAGTAGAAGTACTGACTAAACTTCTTTACTCAAGTCAAAGTAAAGAGGCTTTGAAATGTACTTCAGTAAAAAGTACCCATAACTAGCAGCTGTTTTAAAGAGTACCTGACCTCCCTTTGAACCCATTTATTGGTATTTTCCTATACTCTCAGATATGTTTGTTGATGTGTGAAGCCCTCTGAGACAAATGTGTTTGTGATATTGGGCTATATAAATACACAATACTGAATTGAATTGAATATATTAATGAGGAAACAGCTGATCCTACATCGCATCATTAAACCTCCTTGTCCTTAACCTTTTACGCTTCCTTAGGTATGTAAACCCTTAACTTTTGTCTCTGTTCAACACATTCAAGACTACAAGGCAATCAGAGTATACGACTATATGTTTTAAATGATTATATGATGATCATTTGACACGACAATGTATATCTAAATCATAACTCAGGCGGTTGCTTTCCAGGTGGCAGTAGTGTGCATTGTGTGGATGATGTTCAGAGGGTTAGGGTCTGACCTTTGCTTCCTGTGAGCGAGGAGATCTTCCGGGGGCGGGCTCTGATGTCGTAGATGATGGGGTACTGGATCCAGGGGATCCTGCAGGACACACGGGCATATCAGGCATGATGTTAGATTAAGAGCTTTACTCTCATCAGAGACCAGAGGCCTGTACTACGAAGCCGGATGTTCTCTGAGCTGACTTCAGGGAAAACTCGGGCTTTCCGGTCCTACGACGCTGGTTCTCTTTTTAGCGGGCTAGATCTCCATGGTAACGTATGCTGAACGGCTAGCCTGGTCCGGAGCAGGTTAGGTGGCAGACTAAGAGATCAACTCAGTGAAAGCACCGCCTGCTGACCAATCAGAGCTCCGTGTGCGGAGTTTAAAGCGATCAAGTCATATTACAGGATAGAGGAAATACAGAAAAACTGCCGTTGCAGGAAAGACGGCCGGCAAAAATCAACTGACTGTGTGAACGAGAAAATGAATAGAATATCCCCTCCTCCCATCTTCAGAGCAATCTGACCATTATAACATTAGCGTTAAGAAAGCTTACTTAAATATCTGCCACGACATAAGTAACCGGATCAGAGTAACATTACGTACAGTCCGCGGCACTGTGAGTGCAGACGTCGATGTGTCCCATTATCATTCATATCATATCACATCATAATGTATCATATATTTCCTTATCCGAGTCAGCTGAGCCGTATCTGGCCGTGCAACACTCACAGTGTCACATACTGTATGCAGAAGTATTATTTTAAGCAACACATTAAGTTGAGGAAACACTCGAGTCAAATGTAATGAAAGTCAGATCGTGTCTTAGACGGGGCAGTGATTTCATAAAACTGTTAATGTACGCATTCAAACACTTTCTCTGTTACCAGCTGTATTCACCTTGCAGGTGCAGCTATGTGGCTTTGATCCTGGATAAAGTGTTTAAGTCATGGATGTTTAAAGTTTAACTTCTTCATATTTGACTAATATTAAAGTTCACTTTTCATTCAGGAAGTATGACGCTGCGCTGTCAGTACGCTTGTCCGTGTTTGTGATTGGTCGAATGCTCCAAATACCACCCCTTTCATGTGAACGCGCACCTAACTAGATAGGACACGGCTGGCTTGAGCGATCCACTTGATAACCAGCGTCGTAGGACCGTTTAGCGAGAGCGCGTATGTTTTGGATTGGGCCAACCGGCTAACTCCAACATATCCAGGTTAGGTTGAACCAGCTTCGTAGTACAGGCCTCTGGTGTATGGCCAGCTAGGTTGTTTGTTATTGTTTACAACAGAGATGTGTATACAGGGGTGGACATTAAGGGTAGGCCGAGACATCAACATCTATTTTCTTTACCACTGGCCCCACCATGCTATATGTGACATGTACTGTATGTAGTAACGCGTGTTGTGTATTGTTCTCTTTTATCCTTTCGCCTGTATCAACTCGTCTTTCATCCTTTTTATTTTATTTTATATTTTATGCTGTTGATATATTGTGATTCTAACGGTGTCTTTTTCCATCTGGCCGGGGACACCAGCTGGAAGTGAGCCATGTCGGCTAAAGCTGCTCCATTTACTGTTTTTGTGACAGTTCATCGACGGGGACTGTCCACGACACTATGAACAAATAAAATAAACTAAACCATGGTAACCACTGGCGTTTCGTGAGGCGGTTGTCAATGACAACCGCCTCACGAAACGCTATGTTGTAGCGTTAATAAAACGAAACAATTTAACAAGATTGCTTGTCAAAATACCAACACCACTGGACCATGTGATTTGATGTCTTGCTGGTATTTCTTTCTTCCTTGTTGTGGTCAGTCAGTGCACGTTCCCCTGTCATTATGAATACAGATGATGAGAGGTGAAGCAGAAGGTGTGAGTTAGTGGAGGATGCTCCTACCTGAAGTGCAGTCCTTCAGAGAGGACCGTGTCCATCTGCATGCCCCCGACCCGGTTGAAGATGATCGCTCTCTGCCCTCCTTCAACTGAGGCAAACACACACACACACACACACTTAGAAAAATATCTAACATGTAATATTTTCCCACATGTTTTTTCACATTACACACCATGTAAACAATATCTTGTTATTTATTTCATTTAAGTATTGCCTGTTCCAAATATTTGCACATTTGTACACAAGCTACCTCTAATCCACTCCCAGAACAACCTGCACATATTGTATTTTAATATTTTGCAACAGTATACTTCACGCAGTTTTTTGGTTTATCCAGATTTCATGTCAATAATTTTCTGTATCTTAACGTAGAATAGCTTCAACTGTTTCAAATTGTACTTTTTGGTTATTTTTCGTACTTTTTAAAATCTTCTTTAACCGTGTTTATGTTTGCACCAAGGTGAATTCCTCATATGTGTAAACCTACGTGGGATGGGTATCACATCGAGACGGGTTAAGGTTAACCGCACCTCGGAGCGCTTAGTTCTCTCCGCCGTGTGTGTGTGTGTGTGTGTGTGTGTGTGTGTGTGTGTGTGTGTGTGTGTGTGTTGCATGTAGCAGAGCGTAGTAGGCCCACGTTATAAATAATAAAAACACAATAAGTAGTATATATAGCAGTATAGCTTAAAGAAATTACCAAACAAAACATTGGTTTGCGTTTTGTGGAGAAGTTTCTTAGTTGTTAAACAGCCGAGCGCTGCAGGAGAGTGACACAACCTTTAGTGGAGAACTAGAGTTTAAAAGCTTCCAGTAGGGCTGTGCAATTAATCCTATTTTAATCGCAATTACGATTTTGGCCTGCCACAATTACGAAAACAACATAATCGAAAAAAACAATTATTTTGCTTTGCTAGGTTGTGACACTGCAACATATTTGGTCTCATTTATTTGTATTTATCATATTTACATATGTTTAGTAGCTTGTTGAAGTGCGCTCCAAAATATTTGTTGATCTTGTTTATTGGTATTTATTATTTTGATATTATTTATTTAAATGTATCATTTATTTTTGTATTGGTTTTTCAGTTGAATTATACGTTCAGGGAAATCAACAGTTAAAAAGATACTGTTCAAATTATTATTTGTATTTGTTTTAAAGTTCAATAAATGGATGTTTTCAAAGTCAATGAATAATCGTATTTAATAATCGTGATATCAATTATTGACCCAAATAATCGTGATTATGATTTTTGCCATAATCGAGCAGCCCTAGCTTCCATCGTGTTTTATTATCAGAGTTTAGAGATGTGTTTATCTTCACGGTCTATTGTATATTTTCTACTTTTTAATGCTGCTTTAAATTCAATTTTTTGAGATGTTTAATTTCTAGAATTGTTTATTTCTACTCTTTCATTCCTACGTATGTTTTTTATGCTGCTGCAACGCAAACATTTCCCTATTTGGGATCAATAAAGTACCGAGCCAGAAAACTGTGAAAAAGTACCCGCTAGCCGGAACGACTCCTCGTGGAAACTAGGGATGCTAAGATTCACATCGGTGCACCGGCATAAACGTTGAAGATGCGAGTGCACCGGTTGAAAGAGTGCACGGGTTGAAAGAGTGCACGGGTTGAAAGAGTGCACGGGTTGAAAGAGTGCACGGGTTGAAAGAGTGCACGGGTTGAAAGAGTGCACGGGTTGAAAGAGTGCACGGGTTGAAAGAGTGCACGGGTTGAAAGAGTGCACCGGTTGAAAGAGTGCACCGGGTGAAAGAGTGCACCGGTTGAAAGAGTGCACGGGTTGAAAGAGTGCGGTTTTGAAAGAGTGCACAGGGTGAAAGAGTGCACCGGTTGAAAGAGTGCACGTGTTTGAAAGAGTGCCCCGGTGAAGAGTGCAGCGTGAAAAGACGTGCACATCGCTTACAGTTGGGTTGAACTCGCGATGCATCGATTGTAGCGTCTTTGCATCGGTAACAAAACGATTCATTCATATAATATCCTCTCATCCTGTCAGCACTCAGCAGAGACGATCTTTGATCTTTGCTTCGCCACTACGGAGGCCGAGAGTCTCACTTATCAACACACATGGAAGTCGAGGAGAAAGAGAAACACAGCGCACCGAACAATATCTACAAATCAAACGTTTGGCAACACTTCGGATTTTTCAAGAAAGACGGTCAACTTGAAAAATCGCTCACAAATTGTAAACGATGCCGTGCGGCTTTAAAGTACACAAGTAGTACGAGGAACTTAGCGACGCACATAAAGAGGCGACATGGGGTCTGCGGCTGAAAAGAGAAACCTGAAAGTTAGACATACGAGTGAAATCACTCAGTGAGGTGTTCTGTCAGAGAGAGTGGTGTTTAGTTTACAACAGCCTGTGACCAATCATAGTTTAAATGTCTTCCTTACTGTAAGCAGTTATGAAATACCTGTGAAAGGTTATTTTCTTTATTGTTCCCATAGAAACCACTGCTTTCTGCTCTCTGGTGAGTTGGCCTAGTGGTTCCCAAACTTTTTGTGTCCAAGGCACACCAAAGGACAAGTAAAGATCTCAAGGCACACCTATTGTGCGAAATAGCCCTTATAACACGTGTTATCACTCATATCATGTAAAATATCTGTAAATGTGCATAATTATTTACTAATGCCAAATAAAATGTGACAAAGACAACTATATTACTCATGAAATATTTATTAACGAAATATTTCAGAAATTAATTTGAAACTTTATCAAATTAGGCTTCATCAAAGCAGCAACACACTCATTTAAACCAGACAGAGGATCAGGCTTTGGTGGTCGGCTCCCATCTCGGCGCACAGCTGGGAGAAGAGGCGAGATTTCAGGGGCCTTGATTTGATGTAATTCACCACCTGCACAGCCTGATTCAGCACCTCAGTCAACTCCGGGGGCATGGGGGGCAACTAATGCCTCTCTATGCAAAATGCAGTGGTTTGTCACGATATGTGGGTTTTGTGCTCTCACCTTAGCAATACATCCTTTCACTCTCCCCGTCATGCTTGCCGCGCGTCTGTGCAAAGACTGACGCACATATTCCAGGTCAGACTGTTCTCTTTTAAATAGTTATTAGTTACCCTGAATGTTTCTTCTCCCGTAGTATGGCTTTCCATTTCTTTGCAGAAGAAAAACGTCTCTTTGATAGAGTCAGCATCAACATATCTGACGTTTGCCAGAAGTTGGGCAGCCCCACTTATGTCTGTAGATTCGTCTATTTGTAGGGAAAATCTGCCGCTCGCCTGCAGTGCCATAAGACAGGTAACTTTCATGATACTGTCTGCTGACAGTTTCCTCTTTTCTTTGGGTGGTGGGTTGTCGGCAGTCTCTGCACTGGTGGTTGGTGGTTTGCTCCGCACAAGAAAGCGCTCCATTTTCCCTCTTGCGTGTTTCTCTGTTTTAATGTTGTCCTTCAGCCTTTGATGTGTCACGGTCTTATAATTCCCACCTGCAACTGCGTTAACAGCGAAATATGGGGTTCTGTGAGGATTCTTTTTTAAAGAATTGTTTTTAGGTATAGAGTTTGCCTCTGTATTATGAAATGAGTGCATACAAAGTACTGATATAGTAAATTAAAAAATAATTATTTTTGTATATTGCAATAATAACGTATGGTTGTCACAAAATCCCACGGCACACCCGGACTTGCCTCACGGCACACCGTTTGGGAACCACTGAGTTAGCCTATGAATGAGTGTGAAGCGCATCAGACAGCAGCTGTATGGGCATTGCACGATGGTAGTTGTTATTTGCACATTGTTAATCCTGGGCAATGCATCCTTAAATTGTTTAACTGGGAGGTGTTATACAATTGTTCTGTACTCTGGAGAGTTTTTTAAGGTAAAAAAGAAACAGCATGATGGGATGTGCAGTACTAGTAGAGAGAACCAAATATGTGAAGCACTTTTTTGTTAATGTGTGATTTGCTGCATATAAGGAATAAAACAAAATCCTCTGTCGTACCATATTGAAGTATCATTATTTTGCATCGTGTTGAATCACATCGTATCGCCCCGTATCGCATAATGTTGAATCAAATCGCATCGAACTGTATCGCAACAGGGGTGAATCGTATCGTATCGCATCGCCTGGTGTTTCAAAGGTATCGTTAATGTATCGTTGGCAACGTATCGAGATGCGCATCGCATCGGCCTCAGTGATGGAGATGCACATCCCTACTGGAAACACAACCAAGAACGGGCTGGGCCCGGCACGCTTAAACCGCACTGTAGTGGAAATGCGCCATTAGAGAGCCGCGCCAAATGATCCGACTCACTAACGTAAAGAGACAGTATCTCCCCGCCCCCCCCGCGGTGGACGCCCTCTCAGGTCTGGCGGAAACACTGGTGATCGGTATAAATGGGAGACAGGTGGTGGGATCAGAGCACCGGTGGGCATATGGTTTTTACCACGGGGAAAAGCACGCCATAGGAAAGACATCGGAACATATTGGAAACTTTCTTCTTATGGATGATATTGGATCAACAAATAAATGTACGATTCGCTATCTGGTGCCGTGTCAATTTCGTCAACGAAAAATGTTCGTCAACGACCTTTTTTTTACACGACTAAGACGAGACGAGCTAAAAATAGATTCTTGATAATAAAAACTATGATGAAATGTATATTTTGTTTTCGTTGACGAGACAGGACTAAGGTGTTAATTAATGGTGGACTGTCGGACATTCAAAATGCAGAGTATTTTCCCCCAAATGTCCGTCTTGTCTGTCAATCCCTGTCATTGGTTGAATTAGTTGGGATTCTGGGAATCTGCACACGTCACTAACAAGTTAAGTGTGAGTGAAATGTTGCTTTACGAATTTCAACACTTGATGCGGTCACATTGACTCCAATGTCAGATAACTGCATTTGCCTAAATGAATTAGTTTAAAGAGAGGAAACATTTTGACTAAAACTGGACTAAGGTCGAGACGACAGTTTGTTACATTGTTCAGAAGGTTCGGTTTGCGTTCACACGGCAAAACTCAAATGGACTATAAACTTTAAACACAAGTCATGTGCACGGATATGCTGTTCAACCATTGGTCAGACATTAAGGGGGTACAAACGCAAATCCTGATGTAGTTGACGGAGCATTTTTACTTTACACAACACTGTTCAACACTTCATTCTGCTTCACTCTTTAACTAAAGATTTTGAAGACACCCGCGTTCTTGTGACTCGTAAATACTACGCTTCCTGTGTTTTGGTGCGGACTGCGTTCACACCAGAGATGAACCGCTCCACAGTTCACTAGCAAGCGCTCCGAGACCACCTCTTTTAGGACCAGAGTCCGGTTGTTTAGTTCACTTCAGAGGTCTCGGACTGCGTTCACACCGACCCAAACGAACCGTGACTAAAACTAACAACCATTTTCATCTAAAGACTAACCCTAAATCTAAAATAGCTGGCAAAACTAACACTGATCTGGTTCCTCAACAGCCGTTTTACTTTTAAGTTGAAGTTCTGTTTTATTTCTGTATGTTTTTTGCTGCTCCTCTACCTGTGAACGTGGCCTCCCTCACTCCATAAGCCAGAGCTCCAGCGCCGATCAGCAGCTTCAGTCCGATCCCTAAACCCTTCGGTCCGGATGACATCCGGCCTGCCATCTGCCCCATCTGCTTCATGAAGTTCTGGAAACAAAAAACACCAGAGAATCAGAATCAGGATCCCTTTATCCGTCCCACAGAGGGGAAATGTACAGAGATACAGCAAAGACACTGAGACAGAACACAACTGTATTAAAACAGTATATGAATTCAGAGTGTGGACTGTTAGCTGGAGAGGAGCAACCTACCGTTTACTGTGTGGTTAAACTATGTATGTAGGGGCAATATACTTAGTAAATACTACATTTCCAAGTATTTAAGTATATATCGTTCTGTCTGCTGCCGTCTGGTAATCTTCAGAGACAGTTTAATCCCACAGGCCATAAGACTATTAAACACCTGAGCGTGCACTATTTTAATTGTGGTTGTTATTTTTCATTAGTTGTATGTCTTGTAATTGCATTGTTGAGGATCCTGTGACCTAAGTTTGTCATTCATTACATACTACACCATAGTTGTGTTTATGATGAACATTTTAATCTATATTGCACAGTTTTATGTTACAACATTGATGCTACAGGTGTTGGGAAGCAGCCAGTATTAGAATGAGATGTATTTCACAACAGTGTAGTTATAGTCCGAGTTGTTGTGTTTCAGTAAAGCAGCTCAAATGTTGACAAATCACACACACACACACACACACACACACACTGGTATGAAGTTAAAACAGTCCTTAATTAAACAGACTGTATTACACAGACAGCAGGACACACAGTGACCTTCATCCTGATGGATAACTAAGGTGAAGGTTAACGCCTCCAAACGACTTTATCCAACTGTGCGCAGCAGCAACCAAACCCCATTCAAAAGTGTGTGATTTGATGTTTTCTAGCACAAACGCTCATTTACAACTAATTTAAAACATAAATGACAATATATACTGAATGAATACACTGTTCTCTTCAATTCGGCTTATAGATAAACCAGAAAAAGGAGTTAGTTTGATAGAAGATCTGCGTTTTTGTATTTGTTTGCATGTACGACTGCTGGATGTCAAGGCTTATGGATTATGGTGCAACTCTCCTTATAAAGGATGTTGTTAAAGAAATAAAAGCAGCTTAGTGTACCAAATATAAGCCGAATTGAAGAGGGAGTTATACTTCATTATGAACACGGTTAAAATATTAGAGTATATTATAACGCCTTAATGTACTATTAAACTCAAGGAAATATTAAATGGTATGATTTTTAAGGAGACCCTGGCATCTTAGTTTGACTAAAGTATTCCTCTGAGACTGTGAAGTGGGTTTTTAACCCAACATTATTTAGACGTAGGAAGTCCCTCACCTTTAGTACCTGTCTTCATATTTGACCTGGAGCTTTTAAAATACAAGTTTTAGATAACATTGCGTTGACTGCTAGCTGACATCAGACCCTCACGTGGCTCTTTAAACGCTTATAATGTCGTGATTCTGCGCGTGAAGCAGCAGAGCAGTTGAACACACCTGAAGGCAGGAATGTGAGACAAATAAAGGTGAAACTGTTAAAGTAAAAACACTTACTTCTGGGTCTGGAGTCGCCATGCTGCTGTCCTCTGCGTCTGTAGCTGTGGGAAAAACCAAGAGAAGAAGACAAGGTCAAGCGTGATGACGCAGTTCCGTCCGTCGGCGCGGGGTACTATGGGTAATGTAGGCGCTGTCAGTGGCTGTTCATAAAGTTACACAAAGACTGTTTGATGTTTGTTCTTCATAATAATTATATGTATAATAATGAAAAATAATAGACTTTTATTCTAGTTTATAAATACAAAACAAACTATAAATATAATATACTAATTAAATAAAAAAATACAATAGCATTAAATAATTAAATAATAAATAATAATAGTTGAGAAAAGTTAAACTTTTCAAGTGTTGACGGAAGCGCCAGCCAATCAAATCATATGCCAGTACAAGCGCTAGCCAATCAAACCGCGTGCTTGTGTGTCCAGGGCGGGAGATTCATGTGATTGGTTGTTGGTCGCACGTCAGACACGCCCACCGGCAAGCTTCAACGCGACGCTGCCGTGTGGACGTACCGTAACGATGACGTCAATAATACCGTAATTAATAAAAATAATAAAAATATATGCAAAATAATAATTTAAATAATAATTATAATAATAATACAAAAATACAACAACAAAATTACTAAATAAAATTAAAAATAATAATAATTAAAAAGTAATACAAATTATAATAATACAATAATAATATAAAAATACAAAACATAACAATACAATATAAATTATAATAAAAAGATAACATATTAATAACAATAATAACATAATGATAAAACAAATTATATAACCTATTCAAATATCGCTTTTTTTCCGCGACTTACATACAATACTGTGGCCAATCCCCACAGGAGCATTTTGGGGTGAAGTGTCTCAGGGACACAACGACATGCTGACTGCAGTGGGGTTTGAACCCTGATCCCAACACCAACGCACTAGCCCACTGTGCCACTCACCCCCCTTAAAGTGGACCTATCATGCTATATTTAAATGATATATTGTAGGGCCATACCTATATAAGGTATATTTATACGTTTCTGTTTTCAAAATACCAAACAGATCATGCATTTTAGCCATGCCTCATTTCGCTCTATGTGCTGTTTGCTGTCTACGGGTCTGATTCTGCTGACCACGCCCCCCTGCAGGAGAGGTGAGACGTGCTCTGATCAGCTGCTGGGCTGTCAGAAGAGGGGGAGAAAAAGAGATCTCCGTCCTCCGTGTTTTATTATATAGAGTCGTTATTCATTTGTTTTAAAGCTCAATAAATAAGAAGACCTTTGACCGGCACTTTTCTAATTTTGTCCGGAAGATTTAAACTTTAACGGACATCTTGACCGGCGAAAGAAACTGAAACTGAAACTCTGCCGCACGGTCCCCTCGTTCCTTGGAAGAGGCGGAGAGGTGGGTGTTTGTCATCTGCTGGTGGACTAACCGGAGAGAATTACAGTGCTTGCCTCGACGGGGAGGGATTGCATTGAATTAAAGCAGCGGGAGCAAACGCTTGCCTCGGGGAGGGAGAAAAAAAGCCACAGCGGAGAATAAACAGAAGGGTAACCATGGTAACTATGGGCGGGATGTCTTCTTTGCTGCTTTTGTGGCAGACTACAGCGCCACTTACAGGCCTGGCATATGTACTACAGCGTCTCCAGCGCTTTCGAACGGCAATGGCCGTGGCTGTCTCCTCCTGATTGGTGGAGTTGGCCCAATAGCCGTAGCGCCACCGTCCTGACGTCAGGACAGTGTTCAAATCTGGATCAGTTTTTATCAGATCCGTTGCAGCCCCTTTTTTAGAGATTTGGGTATGGAGGAAAATAGAGAGGGTTGTGTTTTCTGACACTTGGTGAGTTCCCTGGAACACCGGGGACACATATTCATGTAGAAAAGACGTACAAAAGTGCATTTTGCATGATAGGTCCCCTGATAATACTAATATAAGAATACAACAAAAAAGTACAATTAAACAAAAAGACAAAAAGTACAAAAATTCAAAGAATGATATAATAATAATAAATACTAATAATATAAAAATATATAAATAATAATAAAAAGATCAAATAGAAATCACAATAACAATGATAATAATACAAACATATTTAAAAACTACAATAAATAAAATAATACTAATATAAAAATACAACAAAAAATACAAGAAATACAAAAATTCACAAAATGATATTAATATTATAAAATAAAAAATATAATATTCATAATACAAAATACAAATAATAATAATAATTCTAAAAAAATAAAATATAAATCACAATAATAATACAAAAATATAATAAAAAATACAATAAATTAAACAAATACAAAAAATAATATAATAATAATAAAATAAAATAAACAATAATATACAAATATAAATAATAATAAAAAGATAAATTATAAATCTCAATAATATTAACAAATAATAATTAAAAAAAATAGAATAAATCATAATCCCAGTCACATCCGATAGGCCAACAAATCTCTCTAGTTTTCAAACTCTGATCAACGACTCTCTGATCAACGACTCTCTGACCAACGACTCTCTGATCAACGACTCTCTGATCAACGACTCTCTGATCAACGACTCTCTGATAAACGACTCTCTGACCAACGACTCTCTGACCAACGACTCTCTGATCAACGACTCTCTGATCAACGACTCTCTGATCAACGACTCTCTGATCAACGACTCTCTGATCAACGACTCTCTGATCAACGACTCTCTGATAAACGACTCTCTGACCAACGACTCTCTGACCAACGACTCTCTGATCAACGACTCTCTGATCCCCCACTTTGCTCGCACTTGGATTAGGACTACTGTTTCTGTGTTTTTGTTATTGTACTGTTTAGGTTCTGATTTTATGTAAAGCTTCTTTGAGCATTAGGAAAAGCGCTATTCAAATCCAATGTATTATTATGATTCTGATTATTATTATAATCGTCATGCTTTGGGGCTCAGGTTGCCTCCATCGGTCGACAGAGAGGCTGCAGGTTTCTCTGCTTCAGTTCCTGGTGAGGAAATCACTCCTTTTATAGTTAACGGAGCTCAGTTCCGGGTTCACGGAGGCTGGGACACCTGAGACCCGCGGACACCGAGCAGCCCCCGGACTCTCCTCCGGGATCTACCCGCAAATATCGATCCGTGTTCAGCTAGGTGAGCAGCGGGAGCCGGGGGGGGGGTCTGTGTGGAGGGTCTGTTTTTAGAGGGGGGGCGGGGGGGGGGGGGGGGGGGGGGGGGGGGGAGGTCTCTGTTTGGGTGGATCCTGCAGACATGTCAGGTCCTGCAGACTCAGGAACACACGCTCCAAAAACTGCTTTCTCTCCTCATGATGTCTCTGTTATATTATCGTTAGTGTTCTGAGGAGTTTACTGTGTGTGTGTGGCTGCTCTGAGATCAGATTCTGAAGCATCGAGGAGGGTTTCTGAAGGTAGGAACCGTGTTAGAGAAGTACTCTGAGGGCAAAGTACTATACTGCACTGTCAAATAAACTGTTAGCATGTCAGGGTTATGTAGGATTAATACAAAGCTGGTGGGCTAACTTTGTTTTAATTCATGCAGAGAGAGGTGGGAGAAGTACTCAGATCTGAGGTAAAAGTACTCATAGTGCAGGGTAAAATACTCTGTTACAGTGCATGACAGTGTTACTTTAATACATACAAGTACAGCTGGTTAAGGTGGAGCTAACTGTGTTTTAACGCCAGGGATTAGTTGAGTAATATTTGGTATTCATAACATGAACCTGCAGAGTAATATAGGTAGTGTTGGAAGAAGTACTATTCCCTTCAGTGGAAGAAGTACTGTGTACAAATACTTATTGTGTGTAATAACATGGTGGGAGAAGTACTCAGATGTAAGGTTAAAGATAGATATATACATTAGTTGATTAATATTATGTATAAATAACATGAACCTGCAAAGTATTCAGAGGTGGAGAAAGTACTCAGATCTTGTACTTGAGTAAAAGTAGAAGTACTCAGATCTTGTACTTGAGTAAAAGTAGAAGTATTCAGATCTTGTACTTGAGTAAAAGTAGAAGTACTCAGATCTTGTACTTGAGTAAAAGTAGAAGTACTCAGATCTTGTACTTGAGTAAAAGTAGAAGTACTCAGATCTTGTCCTTGAGTAAAAGTAGAAGTACTAGAGTGTAGGAATACTCTGTTACAGTTAAAGTCCTTTATTTCAGTGTAATTGTAGTAATAAGCTGGTAAAGGTGGACTAACTCTGTTTTAATGCCAGGGATTAGTTGAGTAATATTAATAACAGGAATGTAAAGTAATGGTAATATATATATAGTGTTGGAAGAAGTACTATTACCTTCAGTAAAATAAGTACTGTGTAAAAATACTTTAAATCAAATGTAAGATTAAAAGTCCTTCATTCAAAAATTACTGGTGCTAATGATGGTGCAACTTT